GCCATGCTATAGGGGCAGTTTGTCCATGATTTCTCATGTATAGACCAACTCGTTCGAAGGACGTTGTTCTTTTGAATGACGAGCTCCCCTGGTGGGTGCACTTCAATCAATATGGCTTCACTCCAACTCGTTTAGTCATTCTTTCATATCCCTGATGTCAGTGCCAAGGTCCGCATGTGTGGTCATCTTTAGTGGTGCACGTCGGTCTTTGATAGAGTTGGACTCGACATGGGAAAGTTATGGTTGTTGGTGTTGTACTTATGGGTCAAAGTGTTCTTTGATGGGGGCAAGGGAACTAGAATGGGGGACCAAGAGTGATGAGCTCCCATGGTGGGTGCACTTCAGTCAATATGGCTTCACTCCAACTCGTTTAGTCGTTCTTTCATATCCCTGATGTCAGTGCCAAGGTCCGCATGTTTGGTCATCTTTAGTGGTGCACGTCGGTCTTTGATAGAGTTGGACTCGGCATGGAAAATTTATGGCTGTTGGTGTTGTACTTATGGGTCAAAGTGTTCTTTGATGGGGGCACGGGAACTAGAATGGGGGACCAAGAGTGATGAGCTCCCATGGTGGGTGCACTTTAGTCAATATGGCTTCACTCCAACTCGTTTAGTCATTCTTTCATATCCCTGATCTCAGTGCCAAGGTCCACATGTTTGGTCATCTTTAGTGGTAAACGTCGGTCTTTGACAGAGCTGGACTCGGCATGGAAAAGTTATGGTTGTTGGTGTTGTACTTATGGGTCAAAGTGTTCTTTGATGGGGGCACGGGAACTAGAATCGAGGACCAAGAGTGAGCATCATAGGCTTGGATCTGAGCTTAGGAGTTGGATTTCTAAGATGACTAAGGTCGCTCACTCGGCTTTAATCTTCAAAGGATCCGTTGGGTGCATTTTGGGGTCCTCTATATGAAGATTGGCCATAGTAGGCACTTGTGGGGCTGGCTGTACTACTGTTTTGGTGCACCCTTTCTGCCCCAACGCTTTCATCATTACGATGAGGTGGTCGGCCTTCTTTTGTAAGGTGTTGAACTCTCCAAGGTTCACTTGGTTCTGCGGTCGAGCCTCACAAGGGGGAAAGATGCATCGAGAATGAGATCCTTGAGATAGGGATTGAGTGCTAGAGTGGTCGAAGGTGTTTTTGGGATACATGATTGCGTTTAGTGCATGAGGAGTGAGAAAATAGGAAACTGAAAGCTTTTTGTGTCGGTTTCCATAGACAACGCCAATCTGATGTTGTCTGATCCAAGGAGAACAATAAGAGAGTAAGAGGGCTAGAGAGTCTAGAGAGTTGAAGATCGTATACCATAAGGGCATATGCCTTTAAATAGGTGAGTGTCTGTGTTGTAATCTCAAATGCAGGATTAACGAGAATAAGCCACTTGTCAGGTTTCCAGGAGGCTCCGCCTTCCCTGACGAAGGTGCTTATCCTTAGGGAGGTGATTCTTATCCTTGTCCATGCTCAACTCTGCTTCTCTATGAGGTCTTCAATGACTTAGTTATCCACATTTGTTGGTGAGCAGCACACTGACATGGTCCGAAGGCATAGGCCACAAAGGCACCCACATGGTAGTTTCGGTCAGCTAGGGCATCACCCAAATAGGTTGGTAAGTTTACACAAAGGTATTAAGGTTCTTTGAAATGGGGAAGAATGAATATGCTAACCATTTCCTTTTAGTGCAACTTGATATTTGTGATTCATTATCCATTTCCTAAACTGAACTCCTTAATAGAAATTAAAACATCACCAGCAAGTTCTCTATTTTGGAGTTCAGTTGTTCATCCAAATATTAATGACTATCTTGACCAAAAGGGACAAGGGTTATTCTTGATGATGATTTGTTGTGGTTCATTTCAAGGAGAAGGCTTAAGCTTGGTCCTACATATCGCGGGCCATCAAAAAGTTCCTACATTTTTATTAAAACAATGAGGTTAGTATTATATATCCTTTGAAATGTGTATTTGGGTCCATATTTTGGATGTTTTTGTGGAGAGATGACTAGGGTCTGGGGTTGCATATTTGCTAGGGAAACTGGAGCATTGGTGGAAGGTAGTTCAAAGTTCAAACGACGTTGCCTCTAGTTCAATTATTAGGAGGAAGAAGGCTAATTATACTTTTCCCATAATCTTGAGCTCTAACTCTAACATAGGATATTTATAGGGATAGTATGGTAAATTTGATAAAACCATTTATTTTTTAACGATAAATCATGGATGGGGGCTTTCTAGAGATTTTGAAAAGTCATAATAGATTTAAGAGAAATGCAAAAAACTTAGGGAGAATGACGATTCAGCCCAGGGTCAGAATTTGTAGGTTCAAAGTACATTTGGGGTAGGTGCCAGCTCGAAATTGATACCAATTCACGAGCAGGTATGAGTGCATAGAGTGTGGGTTTTTGACATTTTGGGTGTTTATAGATTTGTAGTAGAATTCAGAAATCTGCATTAGGCTTGTCCATACTTTTCTGAAAAACTTACTCTTAAAGGTGCAAATGGGGAGTGGCTATTATTTGAAGAGGAAATATCTAAAGAGTTGGAAAACCATTTTAAGTACATTTTCAGAAGATTTTCTAAGTTGTGTTACAACCAGGTTGAGTGAGCAGGAGAGAGATCTGTTAGAAAGAAAAGTCATAAATGAGGAAATAAAGGAAGCAATATTTTAGATGGCTCCCAGGAAAGCTCCAGGGCCTAATGGTTTCCCTAATTTCTTTTTTTAGAAGTTTTGGGGAATTGTTGGAGCTGATGTGATTAAGGCTACTAAAGCTTTTTTGAGTCAGGATCTTTACTTAGGGAATTTAATGAGACATTTATAGTCCTGGTCCCAAAAATCAAAAACTCAGAGGAAGCTGCTCATTTTAGACTTATCAGCCATTGCAACTCCATCTATAAAATCATAGCTAAGGTCCTAGCTAATAGGATCAAGCTTCTTTTAGGAGATTTAATCAATGTAAATCAAAGTGCTTTTACTCCAGGCAAATACATATAGGACAACATCCTCATAACTCATGAAATTATACATTTTATGTAAAATGCCAGAGGGAGGACTCATTGGATGACATTGAAACTTGATATGAGCAAAGCCTATGATTGGGTGGAGTGGAATTTCTTGGAGAACCATGATAAAGATGGGATTTGGAGCAAAGTGGGTTAATTGGGTCATGGAATGTATGTCTACTGTAACTTATAGGATCTTAGTCAATGGAAACCCTGGTCAAAAGTTTGTCCAAAAAGGGGGTTAAGGCAGGGAGACCCTCTGTCACCATACTTATTTTTACTTTCCTCTGAAACTCTATCTGCAAGCTCACAGAGCTTGCTTCTCAAAAGAAAATAAATGGCATTTCAATTTCCAGGAACTGTCCAACTGTCTCTCATTTTTTTTTTGCAGATGACAGTTACATATTTTCTAAAGCAAAGATGGGGGAAGGGAAAAGTATTCTGGATGCTCTCAAATCTTATGAAGAGGTCTCAGGGCAACAAGTAAATTTTTCCAAATTAGAGGGTTTTTTTAGTAAGAATCTGTATCATAGACTGCAAATGCTTTTGGCTAATTTTCTAAGAATGAAAAGTGTAGAATCTCCTTCCATATATTTAGGACTTCTCACAAAGATTGATAAAATAAAGAAAACCCTTTTCGATTTCTTAATTAAAAGAGTGGAGAAATTGCTATAAAAATGGCATGAATCTTTCCTATCTCAAGTTGGGAAAGAAGTCCTGATAAAATCAGTAGCCAGTGCAATCCCTAACTACACAATGTCTTGTTTTCTTCTTCCAAAAGAAGTGTGTAACGAATTTAAGAAAATCCAAACTAGATTTTGGTGGGGGAACAAAGGATTAGAGGAAAAGACACTAGATCAGTTAGGAGGTTCTCAGCAAAAATAAATGTACTAGAGGGTTAGGGTTTAGGGATCCTTATAGTTTTAACTTGGCTTTGCTAGCAAAGCAAGCCTAGAGACAATGTAATGAAGAAACTAATCTTTGGGTAAAGATCATCAAAACCAAATATATCAAGGGGAGAAATTTCCTGACTGATAATTTGCCTACTAGGGGTTCATGGGGATGGCAAAGTTGGTAGAAGCTAGAGAGGTCCTTCAGAAAGGGGCTTGTTGGGCTGTTAATTCTGGTACAAAAGTTAGAATATGGGATGACCCTTGGTCAAAAAAGGTTGAGTCATTTAAAATTATAGGGCCTAGGACAAATAACCCAGAGTTGACTTGGGCAAAGGATCTCATGGTGGAAGATGGTAGAAAATGGAATACAAGATTGGTTGAGGATAATTTCGGGGAGGAAATTGCTAAAAACATTTTGAGCATAAATTTAGATAGGGGAGATTGGGAGGATAAACTAAAATGGACCATTCATCCAAAAGGGTTTTACACAATAAAAACTGGGTATGCCTTAACATCTCAAAATAGTAAGCCAGCCATTGGGACCTCGGACCCTCTCAATGCAATAAATATGGGGAAAAAGTAGTGGGCTGAAATCTGGAAAGTAAAAATTGACCCAAAAATAAAAAACTTTATTTGGAAATGTTCTCAAAATGCCCTAGCAGTGAGAGAAAACCTCTATAAAAGAAAACTCTCGAATGATAGCATCTATCCAACAAACAGAAACCATTATACACTGTCTCTTTGAATGTGAACATGCAAAAGCTACCTAGTTTGGTTCTCACTTGAATTATATGGGTATAAGAGGTGGATCGATTATGTCCTTCAACCTTTGGTTTTCAACTTGGGTGGATTTGTGCTTAACAGACAGAGATAGAAAAGATGAATTGCCTGCTTTCTCATTTCTGTTATTATGGAATATCTGGAAAGTTAGGAATGGTAAAATTTTTGAGAATGTTGACCCGATTCCCAAAGTTACACTTGCAATTTTGTACAGGATGTGGAGGGAGAGAGTGATGACTTCCCAAGTAGGATTGTGATATTCTTTTCCACAACATCCAAGCCTGAGTGAGAGAAAATCTTCTTTTTCGGAAGCTCCAAAAGCAGGGAAGCTCAAGATGAATGTTGATGGGAGCTTTTTGTGTCCTGGTAGTTCAGGTTTTGGTGCAGTTCTAAGAAATGATGTCGGATCACTTATAGCTGTAGTTTTTAGCAAATCAATAGTTTCGTCTCCCATTCAAGCTGAAGCGATGGCGATCCTCAACAGTCTTGAGGTTTTGAGTATGTACAAGGAGGAAGATATAGAACTAGAATCAGACTATCAACTTCTGGTGCAGGCTTTAGATACAGGAAACTTGGACTTGGTCTCATATGCAAATTTTCTATGCATGGACATTAAGTTACTAACCGAAGATCTGGCAATTTCTTTTAATCATGTAAATAGATCTTGTAATGTTGTTGCTCATATGCTAGTCAAGAGAGGTCTAAAAGAGTCTGGGTTGTTTGTCCAAGATCCTGGGTGGATCCAAGAATTGACCAACCAAGACTTAATTAAACCTTAACTGTTATTACTTTTTTGTACTCTGTGTTTTATTCTATTTTAATGTACTCTTTTTGCTAATCTTTACAAAAAAAAAAAAATTGAGCGTGCACAGTCCTGCTGGTGGTGCCTAAAGACTTATTATCTTGGCCAAATAAGAAAGAGAAAAGCTCCAACAATTTCTCATGGGCCTCAACTCACTGATATCTTCAACAACGTGAGATCAAGTATTATCGATCGGTATAAATAGATCATTTACCAAGTCTCAATAGACCCTCTGCTTTAATCGTTTAAATTAAAAGAAACACATGTCCATATGAGGAAATGCTGAGCTTGAAGATACGATGTGAACACTACAAAGCCATACCAACTACAAATGTTATGAGTTAATAGGCTATATTCCTACCATTGGGATGTAGAAAAAGCGACCCACTTGCATCTGTATATACAAATTAAACCTTATCGAAATTGGAATGGATAATTTCAATTCCAACTGTTTGGTTGGTGGATTTGGAACGACCATTTCCTCCCCTTTCTTGGGAATGAAATCCCATTCCAACTTATTTTAATTCTGATTTCAAGTCCTGTTTGAACCAGACTTTGGTCCCATTTCAATTCCAAGAAATTTAGATCCCAATTCCTGCCAAAGCAAACGGACCATTAGTTTGATATATATTATTGTCCGTAGCCTAGAGACTTGCTTTTGGGATTGTAATCTTGTCTATATAGTAGTATCATTATATATAAAACAGAGAAAAACAAGTGTTTGGATGTGTTGTAGTTGGAATCGGAATCCAAATGGTCTATTACCATAGTCTGTTTGGTTCAGACAGGAATTGTAATGAAAATTAGAATCGACTGGAATGGAATTTCATTCCCAAAGGAGGGGGAGAGAATGCCCATTCTCTCAAGTGGAAGAATGCCATTCCACAGAAAAGGGAATGACCCATTCTGATTCCAATTCCAGACCCCTATTCCTGCGAACCCAATGAGACCTTATATGTTTCCATATATATGTTAAGTTGGGCAGCAGCCAAGACTTGAGCCCAAAATCGACCCTGGCCCAATATATATGGGCTTGATCAGTCCCAAGTGGGAATGCACAAATTGGTTCGAGCCAGCCCTATACAGTGGCAACAAAGTGGGCTCCATATAATGAATGAACACTAGGGTTTATGGGCAAGCTTGCATCTGCCAAAGAGGTAGAACTAGAGAGGTCTATTCTAAGATAAGGCAGAGATGTTATGCTTTTACCCAGAGCAGAAACGAAGACAAAGAAAACTTGGCCTGAGAAGACAAAAACTTTGTTTTTCCATGACCAACAAAAGCACAAATCTTCTTTTTCATCTTATTCTTCTTCTTCTTCTTCTATACATGAAGTTACTCTCTGAGAACTGAGATAGGAAGGCTTAAGAACGCGTGGGGGGTGTGGGGTGCGAAAGGCAGTAACTCCTAAGTGCAAGGATATTTCTAATAGGAGGGTTGTGAGACCTATTGGGCTTAATGTAGAACATGTTAGGCCAGCAGATAGAGGGCAGGTTGTTAAGGCCCTGACAAGTGTTCCAATGAGGCGTAGTGTTCCCATAGAAGAGGAAAGTAGTGATGTTGCTAACAACTTGAGGCTCCCCAACATAGTGCCAACATTTCAGCACGGAATTGAGGTCCACAGGTTGTGGTGAGGGTGATCCAATTGCTACTCTGGCTTTCACCGCTGTCAATGTCGTCGCCGGCACGGTCACCAGCACGAGAATTAGCAACAGAATGGGTTTCATCTTGTAGACAATTAATTGCTCGAGCAGTTGAAATGCCAAGAGGGAAGACTAGCTTGAGAGATCAGAGATTTGCTTTCCTTTTCTTCAAAGACACTGGAAAGATGCAAAGGAGATGAAGTTATACATAGAGACTAGAGAGAGAAGATTTAGAGCACTTGAGCAGTTACAATTCCTCAATAAAGAGCTTGAATTTAATATAATTTAGACTAGTTAACAACTGTTCGATAAATGGTCTTTGTTTCGATTTAAGGACAATTAGCAATTGTAGTTAGTATTAGACCAGGTAACCGTAATACCCTTTTATTATCTCAATTAGTATTGGTTAATGCTTTAAGGTTATGTTCGGTTTGAAGGAAAAAGTAGGGAAAGGAAGGAAACATAGGAAAATCTATACAAGATTTATAAAGATTTTCCTACGTTTTTCTTCTTTTTCCTACATTTTCCTTCAAATCAAACACAGCCCAAGTGTACAGAGCTCATGCGCGTCTATTGTGCACAAAAGATTGATATAAACCACGGACAAGGGTCCATGCCCAACTAATTAATAGGTTGGGGTTGGTTTTCTAGATGATATGATCAACCCCCAGACCAAAGAATTTGTAGGTTTTGTCATTCCAACTTTTTGGGCCCGTCTTTTTCTGGCCCAAAAATCAAAGCCCGAATAGATTGGGCATGTAATAGTGGCCCAAGCCTGAGGCCTGGCCAAATGGCAGGATGGGTTGAGTGATTGTGGAATTAGCAAGGCCCAATTAAATTATCTGCTTGATAGACAAAAGAATTCTGCGATCTACACCAAAATAACGAGTAAATTGCTGAAACCTCCCTCTTGAATTTTTTAACCGTTTTTTTAACTTTTGTTCAAGTTTGGTAATTGCAATTATTTTTCTTGAATTTTCTGATATGATTTGAAGTAGATTCCCTTTAACAAAAGGCCTAAAAATGCCTAAATATTCGAATCCTTTAACAAAAAGCATGAAAATTCCTAAAATGTCCGAGACTGCTTTTACGAAAAAATAATACAAATTTTATAAACAACAAAAAAAAAGAAAAAGAGTTTAAAGTTGCAGCTTTATCTTATTGATATGAAATATAAATTTGGAAAAAGGATTTGAAGTGATACAAAGACTTAAAGAGAAAATTTAGAAAATAAATATTTTAGCCAAAAATAATCATCTGAATATTTTAGACATTTTCACGCTCTTGTTGGATGAGCATCTCCGACCCACAACGTCCCGCTCCACAATCCCCCATGGAACATCCCCGCAGAACGTCCCGATGCTCTCAATATACGGCGGGGTTGTGCTGTGGGGCGGGACGTTGTGGGGCAGAGATGTCTAATTGCAAGTTGAAACTGTGTTAGAAAGTTATGAGATGATGAAAGTATCAAATTTCAGGAGAAGTTTTAGCAATTTACAAAAACTGCAAGGGAGGTTTTGGCAATTTATCCAAAAGGAAGCCGTATAAGAGAGCGAGAGGCCACGGCCCACGGGTAAAGATAGAAAAGATTTCAATTCAGCAGAGAGGCAAAGCTCATGACCTGCGCATTAAGCAGGATAAGATGCCAGGCCCTCATCAGCCCTGTAAGTGCCTCAACTTCTTGAGCTCTTCCGTCCCGCTAAACTTCAGCGCTGCTCGAAAAATCATTCAGAATAGAGAAAATTCAAGTACCCCCAAATTTGTGGTTTCAAAGACCCCAACGCTCTTCTCCGTATCCGTCACAGGGTCTCCCAAAAATCTAGTTTTCCTTCCGAAATCTCCATTTTGTAGAAAAACCCATGTCTTCCTTTGCTCTTCCAATGATGAATTTGAAACTTCCCGGGGTACCCAGGTCTCAAATAAGCCCGAAAGTGAGAGACTTGAAGAAATGGAAGAGCTTGAATTGCTCGGAAAGCCTGCTCTGATAACCGTAAGAAATGCTTCTGTCGAAGAAGAAAAAGTTGCTGAACCTCGTAAGCCTGAGGAAGATGAGGCTTTAGCTCCCTTTTTGAAGTTTTTCAAGGCTAGAGATTCGTTAGAGCAAGGGGAAGTGAGTGAATTAGAAGTAACTGATGAAGAGGTTAGCGAAGAGGAGCGGGAGGAGAAAGAGGAAAACAAGAAGGTCAGTGTCGAGTATTACGAGCCAAAACCGGGTGATTTTGTCGTCGGTGTAGTTGTGTCGGGCAATGAGAATAAGCTCGATGTGAACGTCGGAGCAGACCTTTTGGGTACAATGCTGACTAAAGAAGTGCTCCCTCTCTATGACCAAGAGCTACCCTATCTATTATGTGACATGGAAAAGGATTCCGAGGAGTTTATGGTTCGTGGGAAGATGGGAATTGTCCAGGATGAGGATGCAATGAGCGGGGAACCAGTACCAGGGAGACCTGTAGTCGAGACAGGGACTGTTCTCTTTGCTGAGGTACTCGGACGAACACTTAGTGGACGGCCTTTGCTGTCCACAAGACGACTCTTTCGGCGGGTGGCATGGCATCGAGTGAGGCAGGTTCTCTTCTCACTTTTTTTGTTTCCTTCATTGTATTTCTATCTTCTTCCTGGGTTTTGCTTACAATCGGATTCCTCTTACTTATATTTTCAATTGAAGAATTTGGGAAAAAGAAACTGAGGAAGTATTAGTATGATTCATGAGAACCAAGTCAGTTCCTTGATATTAGCTAAAGCTCACTTCTGGAATACGTATACAATGCCTATTGGATGTATGTAGTTAACCATGATATTGCTATTTTTTTTTCTTCAGATAGAACAGCTAAATGAGCCCATAGAAGTTAAAATCACAGAGTGGAACACGGGTGGTCTCCTTACAAGAATTGAGGTTTGCTTTCACTTAATGCTCTCCATCTGTTTTAATGTACTTCCTTGCAATTGGCTGCATTTCTAACGGTTGGGTTTGTCAGGGTTTGCGAGCATTTCTTCCTAAAGCTGAGCTGATGGGTAGAGTTAACAACTTTACAGAGTTGAAAGAAAATGTAAATTAATTAACTCTCTTTGGTCATTACTCTTTCCATGGTTATGTCATTCTCTCTTATGTCACAATTTAGATCACAGTGTTCTTTCTCCCGATAAGCTCGTTTGTTTCATTCATGCATCAGCATGGAGAATTATCTGATGGACTAAGCCTTTGCTGTAACCTGTAAGTATTTGATATAGATAATGTATAGTTTTCAAGGCGCCAAGGCGAGGCTGGGCATCAGGGGTGGCGACTGGATTTTTTTATATAGAAAATATAGATCCTAGGGTAGTTTCCTAGGTACAATAGCCATATTTCCTTAATAATTATTCATAATTTTCATAAGAAAAGTATAGAGTTCATGTTAAAGTATAGAAAATCAACATATTCATGAGAAGAAAAAAATGAAGGAAAAGAAAATTCAAAAAATATAGGGGCTGAACCCTTATTTTTGTTATAGGAAAAGAAGAAAAGAAAAAGTAGTAGTTTGTATTGATTAAATCCTAGCAAATAAGAAAATAATAAAGGCAAATTAGTATATAAATACACAAAATGAATATTTTAGTTTAATCTATTTTACAATTACAATGTCAAAAAATAAAGAATAAAAAAATATTTTACAATACATGGTACACAACTGCTTGGCGATTAGGCGAGGTGAGCCTCAAAGGGCGCCTTGTCGCCTTGACAACTTTGAGATAATGTATTATAAAACACAGGTTTTTATAAGACCATATCTTAAGGCTCTTTTGGTTTGAAAGAAAAGAAGGGTAGGGGAAGAAAGAGGAATATTAAAGTTTTCCCTTCCTTTGATCCTTTCTTTTCCCTTGCCTTCTTTTCTTTCAAACCAAACAGTCTAAATAACTTAAGTAGAACATTATAAGTTCTACCTGCAAGATTTATTTTTTTCAGCATTCTCTATTCATCTTTCCTTCACTAAGTATCTATAACCCAGAGCTTGTTGGGAGATGGAAGCACACACTATAAAAGCAGTTTTTTGGCACAGATGAAAATAATTCCCCCTTTTTTGTGATACTTTGCCTTTGTATACTACCTATGACAGCATTCTGTCCATGCAGTTTTTGAAGTACTTTTCTTGTTGTCTTTTCCTACAGATTAGTTTGGCTTTTTCTTGTTCACTATATTGATCATTGATGATGGGACATTGTTTGTTGGTGGAATAGGTGGGTCGCCGGATATTTGTACGGATTACTAGAATAGATGAAGCTAATAATGACTTAATAATCAGCGAAAGAGAAGCTTGGGTCAGCTCCTATCTTGTAGCCCTTTGTCATTGTCAGCTCATTTTATTTCCTAATCTGTGCTCTAAAATCTTGTTTAGTTCGGTTTTTTCTTCTTTAAAATTCAGTGCTGTGTCTAACATTGCAGGAAATGCTATACCTCCGAGAGGGAACACTGCTAGAAGGGACGGTGAGGAAAATTTTTCCTTATGGAGCACAAATAAGAATAGGCGAGACTAATAGAAGGTGAGAGAGATAAATTAGATTACTTGCTAAATGGAGAAATATAGATTCATTGAGTTTCTAAAGAAACTAATATATACCTTTCTGTTTTCTGATAAGTATTTATACATGAAATCACAAAGGAACGAGATCTATATTCATATATACAACGATCACAAGATGACATCCATGTACAGTAAGCACAGGTCTAACAAAATTATAAAAGCTTACCTTAGTCTCTATTAAATGTACAAATTTTATTCTCTAAACTCTTCTATGCAGGATTTCCATCCAAATAGTTGCCTTTCAATCTTTCCACAGACTTGAGATGCCAAACAGCTTTTCTTGTCAAAAGTGCTGTAATTTGTCTCCATCCAAAAAGTCCCGTATTTTCTCGTCTCCAATCTAGTTAATGATGCATGAAGTATGGTTCATGGTCATAACAACAAAATGGCATCTTATATTAAACAACTACTTGATTACAAGTCACAACAAATGCAAAGTATATATGCTTCTCCATTGTAATTAATAACTTTTAGCTTCTACCCTTCACTGTTTACATGTTTCGATTGTTTCGTTTCATGTTTATTTTCCTATGTGAAACCAACACTCTAATGATTTATTGATCCTACCTTGTAGCTCACATTCCCATTTTTACTAGTGATGTATGAATAGTTCTTTGTTTTAATTGACAAATGACAAGAATGTCATGTATTAATATAAGGTTAAGAAGGTTGACCCTAGATATACAAAATGATTTACATGGTCATGACGATGAAACCATGGAAAAGATAACCCTCTATACATCAAAAGTAAATTATAACAAATGGTAAAAATGTGCATTTATTAATATAGTTTTTGGTTGCTGGTTTTCAGAGGCCCATTTTCATCCTTTTCTTTTCTAGATTGACATACTTCATTTTCATTTTCTAAATCAATAAACTTCATTTATAAATTTTACAGTGCAACTCTTGGCCTTTAAGCATTTTAGATCAAGTATGCGCAGCTAACTTGAGTATGAGAATCAATAGACTCCAAATCAATCTGAGTTGCTAAGCTAAAACTGGCATAGATCTTTCTTACAAATAGTACTTTTTGGTGTTTATTAGAGGTTGGCTTTAATTGAACATAACTTGATTGTCTCTTTTTACTTTTCCGCAATTTTTCAACAAAATTATGTTTGCATTGTAATCTTACACCTTATCTATGCTTGCAGTGGATTGCTGCATATCTCAAACATTACTCGTGAACGAATTACTTCTGTAGATGACTTGTTAACAGTGAATGAAAAAGTTAAAGTTCTAGTGGTGAAATCAATGTTTCCTGACAAAATATCATTGAGGTAAACAAGGATTAATTTTGCTACAGCTTCCTGTTTGAGTTGATGTATTATTTATGACACCACATAGTTTTGCTTAAATGGAGGAGTGGGCCTTGGCTTAATGGTTGGGTTCCTCCATTACGATCTGGGCGGTCAAAGTTCAAATCTTGGAAATAGCCTCTCTGTATGTGCAGGGATAAGGCTGCATACATCTGTCTCTCCCCAGATCCTGCATTGGTGGGAGGCTCGTGCACTGGTCTACCCTTTATAATTTTGCTTAGATGATTGTCACACTAACAACTAGATAAATTTAGGTATTTCAGATTAGTCATAAAACATCACTCTTAGATTCATGGTTGCAAGAAATATGAGTGAATGAATTCATCTACAGATAACACTAAACTAAAGAAATTATGTATAATAAACTAAAAAGAAAGCCTGTGAACACCCTTGGGAGCTCTAGTAAGGAGTTTAATGGATCTTAATCTGAATTTTACTTCCAAAGAATTGGAAAAATTGAACAATCTTGCAACTGCATTTAGTTGGTGATTTATTAATCATCAATAGAACTGATTTTACAGCACCCCCCTCCCCCCACACACACACAAAAAAAAAAAAAAACACCTACAGCACCACTGAGAAGAAGTGATCCGTTACAAGTTGGAAGGGTCTAGAAGAAGAAGGGGCAGACTAAAAGGGGTATTGATTGAAGTAGTAAAAAAGAATTCAAGGGCTAATAATTGGATATAGGGGTCATTACTAGGTTTAATGGCAAAATCTCAGTCTGGCAAGCATGAGAATACTGGTTTGATTCTGAGAACAGCCACTTTTTGCAAAAATATACCAAAGGTTAGGACCGGATTCATGTAGCTGAGACTGACATTGGGTAATGACCTTTTCAATACTGTGTTCACCTATAGGATATCATCTCTTGTTATATCTATCAGTTGCCATTCTCATCAATCACAAATACCAGCAGAGCTTCTAAGAAACTTAAGATTTTTGGGGTGTCACTTATGTTTTATTTTATATACCAAAATTTTAACTCCCTCTTGATTTTCTGAGAACTCATTTCAATTTTATTCTGTCTTTTTAAAACTCCTGTGAATGTAAATATCTTTCATGACTTCATTCAACATTGCCATGATTAAATTGCTACTGAAGACTTTTCTTCTTACATTATTTTCAAAGCCAATAATAGAGGCCGAAGATGAGAATCTTTATGGAAGGTTTTCACTTCTTTAATTAGGGATGGCAATTTCTACCCTACTCGGTGGGTGGACCTGTTCATGGGCCAGGCTCGGGCTTGGCTTTCAACAAAATTTGAATGGGCCCAGCCTGAAGCTTGAGTCTGACATAGTGTAAATTCAGGCTCAAAGCCAGAAGTTAAAAAAAAAAAAAAGTCAGGCTCAAAGCCCAGCCCATGAACAGGTCTACCGGTGGGTACCCGCCTCTACCCAGTACCCACTTTGCTTGATGGACAGATTTTGGGGCGGGGATGGATTTCGGGATTTTACAACCTGTATGGGTATGGGTATGATATGGTATTAGGCTATACCCAACCCTTGCCGACCTGCATATTGTCAGAAAGCATGTGAACTTAATATATTAGGTGTTGATTTTAATAACATTTTGAAATTTAGTGAAGGATAATTGATAGTTTATGTGTTATTTACTTAATCAAATAATTGGAAATTTTGATGTGTTATCATGTCATTTTACTTATTTATTGTTTATGTATAACAGGAAATAATAGGAAATTAGATGCAGGTTCTAAACTCAACCTGCCCCACCCTTAAAATGTGGGAAGGGTAGGGTCGGGGGAATCGGGATTTGCTCCTCACTGAGTGCACCTCACACTGACCTCACAGCCCCATCCCACCGTGTATTGGGAAAATCTCCCACGAATAACAATACAAAGTGTGGGAGATGTTCCTGACATGTGGCTGAGATGTGTTGTGAGGTTAGTGTGAGGAGCGATCTATGAGGAGCAGATCCGGACTCGGGTCAGTGAGGGTTTTGCATTTTCATGTGCAAGGAGGGTTTGGATTCTAAAAATCCAACCTGCTATGGGTTTTAGGATGGGTACAGGTTGGGAGGTTTAGAGGGGTGGGTAGGGTCTAGAATTTAAAAAACCCTCCCCAAACCTGCCCGTTGCCATCCCTATCTTTAATGAACATAGAACTTGAATGACTAACTTCAAGATAATACCCATGCTTCTTGGGAGAAGTAAAACTATTTGATATTGAAAATGTCCGTACTTCATTCTTCTATGCGATTTTACAATGGATAAAATTGACTATTCTTTTCATCTTTCTATGAATAGCTCAACCATGCAATATGAAATTGTCACTATGGCTACTACATACATATATTTTTTTTTTGTGCAACTTGTTTCTGCAAAATAAAGTTGCTAGTATGGGTAAGATGACATGGGACAACCAAGTAGTTCTACTAATGTTGACTACTATGGTTGCTTTTAACCACTAGGGCTATAGACCGCAATTCTACTACAGTAGTTTTAGAATTGATTATGATGCGTCATCCCTAAAGTGCATCAGCAGAGAAACTCAATTTGCTTTTCCAGAGTTTATCAATGTCAGTACTTTAAATGCTTCCTTCTACTTATATGATCAAGGATATGCTATTAATTCGGAAGGGCATGAACTTGTGCAATTACCATATGTTGTGTTACCAACAAGAAAAAAAAAAGTATTGCCATATGTTGCTGGTCCAGATTTCCAAATACACTTTACTGCATATAATAGACACATAACCTTCAAGGATTGATGAGGCAACAATTTTTTTTTTTAAATTTTGGCATATGACGCTCTTCCTTTTTTCTGCATGCCCTTTGTTTTATGTAATTTCTTTATATCACATGCATAGTATTGGACATACAGCCACTATCATTGTCTCAAGTGATTTTCCTTCTTGCAAGCCCTATTGTCCAATTCTGCCATGACCCTTGGACCATGTCAAAGAGTTTCATTGAGGAATTCAAAACATAGTTATTACAAACTTTATTTGTATGAAGACATTTTTTAATGCTAGGGTTTCTAAAGATAATTTTTGTTGTTGCTTGCAGTATAGCGGACCTTGAAAGTGAGCCTGGTTTGTTTGTATCAAATAAAGAGGTGAGTACTTACTCCTCTTGTTTATCATCCCTATCTTGTTATGACATTATTTTTCCTTGCAAACTTTTGACTTCTATGTTGATATTATTATCTAATTTCACATATGACTGGCAGAAAGTATTCTCTGAGGCTGAAGAGATGGCAAAGATGTACAGGAAAAAGCTACCAGCTGTTTCTGCAACTCGTAAGTTAGATCCCCTTCCAACTGATGTTCTTCCTTTTGATGATGAAGCAAGATTGTATGCCAACTGGAAGTGGTTCAAATTTGAAAGATGTTAATGAAGCAAACTGACCCACAAGTTGGTTTGGCTGTGAAACGTTTAAGGCCTTGCATGCTTGAAATGACTAAAAATGGCCTTCTTCAAGTGAAGATTGTAGAGGAGTATGCCTGTACTCCCTGAATTTAGTGGGCAAGCGTAAATGAAACGAATAGAAGCAGAGTATGAGTTGCGGTGATTACACCCTAAACATGAGTTCTCTTGACTGGAGTGATCTCTTACGACATACATTATTAAAAGGTTGAAAATTCTTTTGTACGTAATGCCCATTACATCTCTCTTAGTTACCAAAAAAAGGCCCATTACAGAAATTGTTGCCTTCTACATTCTACTACCTATTATTGCATCCGTCTTCTTTCTTCTTTTCTATCTCATGCTTCTTTCTTCAGTCTTTACTCGGTCCCGTCTATGTTTCCTTTTATGATTGTGGCTTCAAACTTTCAATGTTCATATAATTTGGCAATAATATGGTGCCAGAAAGGCATGATACCGAGAAACTTACAACCAACAACTAGCATAATAAAAGTAGTAACCAAGTGAATTTTCATAAAAAATTCACAGGGGCTGTGATTGTTCAAAGCCTTTCTGGTATCATGTATTTCTGGCATCATAGATTTTTCCTTTATAATAATATGATAGTGGACAATATTTTAAAAACCAACTTGGTGGTTGAACCATTTTTTGCTTCTGGGTTGTGGGTTACCAGTTCGACTGTCTGATTTGAATAGGTCGAAAATAAGGTTCAAAATATCGAGCTGAATCGAACTTCATTGGGCTCAAGCTCAACTTGAAGTTCGGTTTAGACCTAGCTGAATCGTGCTTTTCACTAGCCAAGCTTGAATACACCATGGAAAATTCGATTCATATCTACCCCTAACCACCCCCTAAGTACAAGGTGGCTCAAGGTTCAAAATATCGATATGCCCGATACGTCGATAGGGGCGTATCGGGCGGTATCGATAGTGTTTTCTTTTTGCTTTTTTTATTTTTTTTTTCAAAACTGGTTCAGGGGGGCCAGTTTAAGGCTCCACCCCCTGAACGGTCAGAACCCCGATACACCCCCTTTAGGGGCGTATCGGGAAGCCACTGGCACGATACATATGGGCCGATACGTATCGATAGTTTGAACCTTGAGGTGGCTATCTATAACTTACTCCATCTTTTTCTAGGAAAAAATATGTACTATCAGAAAGACATGATATTGGAAGAGTTTGGACCAATCAAAACCCGTTGTGATTTTTTATAAATACCATTTGTTGGGAGTGTTTCGATACATTTTAACTCCTATAAAATAGTTTGCTTGTATAAGTTCAAACAAAGATTATGCCCATTTCAAAAACTCAATCTGGGTGTACCTCATGCCTTCCTGTCTTGCTTTAATCAAGAATGTGAATGATTGAAATAGGGATGTGAATGATTAAAGTAGGGTATGAAGAGAGAAGGAAACTGGGTATTATTTTCTCAAAACTTACATTCATGGTAGATAGCACCCCTCTTTCTGTACATTACCTCTGTATATAGTCTGAACCAACATATTGATCTGTGAAGCCCAATTGTCTTGATTTCCCATCACTTGGCAATGGTCAGGTATTTAATTGGTTATTCCAACTGCAAAGAAACTGACTCTATCAATGTATTATTTAAATCGGTACTATAGTCTTGGGAAATTAGAATTCTGTAGAAAGGGATATACCTGAGTTGGGAAAGAGAGGTTCGTATTACAATCTCAGTTAGAAGAGATTAGAAATTAGTAGAAGGGACATACTTGGGTTGGGAAAGATATGGGTTTTCTTGTAAAAGGTAGAATCTTGGTTAGACAGAGGCGACACCATTGACAATGGGGAGTTCACTCTTGGTAGCCTTTTTATTACCGTGACAATAGGATGATTTAGTAAATTACAACTTAAAGGTACTTTAAGACAATTTCTAAATAATAAGGGGTGCTATGTTAATTTCCTAAAACTTAAGGTAATTTAATATATTTGCCCTTGTTTTATTTGCATAGGATACCCATGCATGTAAGACTGCAACTTGGGCCAGGTTAGCCCGAATCCAACCTGAAATTTATGAAGTCGGGTTGGGTTGATGTCCGGATTAGGGTTAGGATTGAAATTTATGAATCCGACTTTATTTTGGGCTGGGTTAGGGTTGACCCCTTGGGCAACCTGAACCCGACTATATATATATCTTACATTGATTTGTTTAGATGCACGATAATTGTATAGCCACCACCACATATTATCATTTATTTCACTTAAGATAATCACTTCACTTAATCCTAATTAGAAATAATAAAACCTTGATAACATATTTTATTCTTTATCTCCTCTCTGTTGTTTGTCACCCATAGCTTGCTACCTATAAAAGATTTATTATAAGTCATCATAATAAACTGTAGTCATTTCAAACACTTTTTTTTTTCTGAATTTTGTACTTAAGGCTGAATTTGGAAGAGTACAAATACAAATATGTACAGTACAAATCCATACTAAATAATACAAAATATAAGGCTTTGCGCTCTACATATTTGTATTTGTACTCCTTCCAAATGGAGACTTTGGAAGGTTGGGTTGGACCCAACCCGAAGTTGACTTTGGGTTGGATTAGGGTTGAAGGAATTTAGTTAGGGTTAGGGCTAGGATTAGGGTTGGGTAGGTCAGGTTGAAGGTCAGATTGGACTATGAATAGGATTGGGGGATTTAGAACTTAAGATTGGATTATAGTTGGCCTCAACCCGGCTTGACTTGCAGCCCTACATGCATGTAACCTCTTCAACAAACACGGAATAGTAGGCAATCCTCATAAGAAGCCTAATGAAGCTTAAGGAGATGGAAATAACGTCAGTCTCTCCTTTACAAATCTATGACTCACTATTACGTTACAAATGAAACTAGATGTGGGGGCTGTTTATTTAGTCTCATATGTATCTAAACACTACCTTGTTTTCAGTATGGATAATTTGTGGTAGCTCATTTTCTATATTTTTTTCTGGTTTTTTAAGAAATAATTTTCTAAAAAAAATCAGAAAGCTCTGAAAATAATCCTTAGAATCCCTAAAATGAGGTGGTTAAAGAAAATGATAACTATAAATTTGGATACTGACCTTTAATAAAGTTGACAGTTTGGTCGAGTGGTCTAAGGCGCCAGATTTAGGCTCTGGTCCAAAAGGGCGTGGGTTCAAATCCCACAGCTGTCAAAAATGTGTTACTCTTTATTCATTCTTACAAATTAATAACCTTTTAGTTTGGCCAAGGCAGGCACCCTATTAACTAGGGCCCACCCAGAGTTTGGCTGTTTGTAACAATCCCATACAGGTTAACTTAGTTTTTTGTGCAACAAGATCAATTTTCATTCTAAAAATAATAAAGCTCATGGCAAGAACATTGTAAAGAAACATTTTCATGTTATTCATTCATGCTCGGAATGAATAGCAATTGAAATTGAAGCAGCAAACCAAACATGGCCATGTTTATAGTCTGAGGTCCCATGCTTATAATAATAATAACCAGCTGATATTTTGTAGGGAAAAGTACGGAGACATACGATGCAGAATTCTGAATTCCAGCCCCCCCCCCCCTACAACTAGTCCTATCCCCTATAAACCACATCCTGCCCGTGTATTTAGCATCAATTCACGGTCAGGATGCATTCTCCCTGTACTTTGGGCCTAGTAAATTCTGGGCTGGGCTGATTTGTATTTCTCCCTATTTTCTAACAATTTGTAAGAGAAAGCTTTTATTACCTAAACTATACAGTAAAATAAATTTGACTGCTGAACTACTATGGAGCCAATTTAGTAATCAAATTGAGTTGTGATCACAATTTGTTTTTTTTTTGTTTTTATTGTAGAATTTAGAGAGAGAGAAAGAACACAACAAGAATAACACCCTCAATTTCTGATTTATACTAGTCCTAATAAGCCACTTGAAATTTTTTTTGTTATCTTTTTAAGAAAAAACAAAAAAAAAGAAAATATTGGTTTTTTTAATGTTTCAATTATTTTTGTTTTGAAGAAACAAAATCATACAATTTGCAAACAACCTCTAAGTATGTGTTTGGTTCCGCTTATGTTTTTTCATTCAACATTTATGCTTTATTTGTTTGTAAAACCGAGAAAAATAATAATTACAACCGTTTATGACAACTAGGCGCCACTACGCTCCATATCAACATAACAGTGAAAAACGCCTAACTGTTTGTACGGAAGAGAAAAATAGGGGAACTGCTGAAGTGACACCTATGTGACAGCGTTTATTGAATAAACGCCCACGGAACCAAACACCCTCTAAATCCCACCTATTCTAACCACTTATTTTACATCCATTTTTGGGTTTTGGGTAGGGGAGGAGGAAGAAGATTGATTAGTGCCAATTAAATTTGTCACAAGTAGAATAATAACAACTGAAGATGACAAAAGAAAATTTAGAATTTCTTTTTTATAAAATTGGTTATGTCTCATTATAATTAAATATCAAAAGATGATTTTTTTTTACTTGGGAAAATAAATATATTTTTACTCAAATATCAAAAGATTAATTTTTTTTTACTTAGAAAATAAATATATTTTTACTCAAATATCAAAAGATGATTTTTTTTACTTAGAAAATAAATATATTTTTACTCAAATATCAAAAGATGAATTTTGTGTGGTTGCAAATATGCCTTGAGAAGAAGTTCTCGCCATGTCACCAAAATCGCAGCTCTTGACTGTTACATAACAACCACTCATGATAGAGAAAAACCAAAGCGTTCAGCACTGACCATGGCCATCTGTCTAACTATGCTTGAAGAAGAGGAATGGAATGTGTAGGGTAAGGCAGTGAGGGGAGAGCCAATCTAGCCAAAGCTTGTTATCCCACCATGAAATGAAAATACCCCCATGCTAGAAGTTAAGCACCTGACTCCGGTTGAGGTTTGTAATTGATGGGAGAAAGGACTTTGTTACAATTGTCATAAGCACTACTTACCTTAACACAGTTGTAAGGTCGAAACCTTTTTAGATAGTGATGATTGATGAGGAAAGGGGACTGAAAAAGAAGACCCCCCCCTAAAGTAAAACAGAGGAAGCCAACCCAGAAATCTTCTTACAGTCCTAGGGGTGTCAATTGGACTGGATTTGGTCCAATCCGATCTTAGTCCAATGAGTCAATTACAAATGGATCAGGTCCAATCCAATCCAATAAATATTTTGGATCATTCCAATTCAATGTCCAAACCGTCCAATATGTTCAAATTCATTTTAATTTAGATTGGTTTCAACCCAAACTCAGTCCACTGACACTTATATTCTTATCTTATATTAATGGATCGGATATTGGCTTAATCCAATCGAATCCAATACAAATTTATTACAGATGGACCAAATCCA